GGGGGGGGGGGCTGCGCCGTCCTGGCGGGCAAGCGCGCCCGGCCGCCGAAGGGGGGCTTGTTTCGGTTGGACCGCCGCCAGTTGCCGTCGAAGGCGCTGGCCGGGGCCGTCCAACAGATGCCAACGGTGGTGGTCGTGATTCCCCGCCCCTGCCTCGGCGTGATGCGAAGATCACGCGCGGCGCGGGTCCGATGTAGTTGGCCGCATCGCGTCGGTCTCTCGGCCCCCTCGCCCAGACCATGAGCAGGCCCATGCGCCGGGCGCCGGGTGTGCTTTTTCGGGTGTTCCCCCCCCCCCAGGTTGGAGACGCACGACGATCCTGGGCTGGCATGTGCCGCCGGGGCGACAGGAGGCGCGCTCGCGCAGCACTCCAGCGCGCGGAATCTCACACAGGGTCGCACACAAGGTCGCACACCAAGCCCGGCGCCGCCACAGCTCGTGCGGGTAAGAGATGCATGCGCATGTGCGGCACATGATGTGCGCGGGGCCGGGCGCAAATGCAGTTGTGCCCGCCAGCACGGCGGCAGGGGGATCGGCTTCAGGCAAAGGTGTGTATTGTTCTCCTGGTGTGCACTGCCTCTTTCGGGGGGCCAGGCGCACGGGGGGAGGGGGAGGGGGGCAGGAGGAGGGGGGATGGCGGTGACGGTGGTGATGGCGGAGCGGGGTGCGCGCGACCAGCGCGTCGTTTCCCTCATTCGAGCAGCCTTCACGCGCATATATACATGAGCAAGCAAGGAAAAAAAAAAAAAGGGAAGGCCCTACCGAGACTGGCCATCCATGGCCGGGCTGCTGCTGGTGCCGGTGCCGGTGCCGGTGCCGGTGCTGCTGCCCGAGGCCGAGGCCAGGGAGGGCGAGGAGAAGGAGTTCGGGCGGCTGATCTCGAAGCCGGACGAGGGAGGAGGCAGCCCGGGGCTGGCGAGCGAGCTCCGATGCCGCTGCTTGATGATCATAGCGCGCAGGGTCCCCTCGAGGAAGTGCTTGGTCAGGTGAATGCTGCGCAGCCAGGGGCCGGCGACGCTTTGAGACCGGCCTCCCGGGACCGCCGGGCCGGGCCGGAAGAGGATTGGCCCGAAGATGCCGGCTATCGCGAGGGGGAGGACGAGAGCATGGCCGAGTCAGGAGACGATCCGACAGGGATGGCGGCAGGGGCGAGGAGAAAGGGCCGGACTGGGGCCACAATTTGGGGCCCGAAGCACACGTAGTCCCCCCCCCCCCCCCATCCAAAGTGCGCACAAAGGCACGCAAAAGTACAGAGACGCAAAGTGTACACAAAGACACAGAATGTACACAGAGACACAAAAACACGCAAAAGCACAAAGACACAAAAACACGCAAAAGCACAAAGACACAAAAACACACAAAAACACACAAAAACACAGAGACACAAAAACACACAAAAGCACAAAGACACAAAATGCACACAAAAACACAGAGACACAAAATGCACACGCACCCAGCTGGGCCACAGTCAGAGAGTTCCGATGGCACTGCATCAACAGCCGGCAAAGGACATCCATGACAAAGCAGAAGAGCACACCATGCTCGACCTCCGGCCAGGCGGCCACCTGCTCGCTGAGGTTGCGGAAGAGCTCCAGCGTCGGGCGGTCCGGCTGGAGGACGATCAACGACTCGATGGTCGGGGCCGGGGCATCGGGGTCGGCGGCCGCGGCGGCCGCGGCCGCCGCCGCAGCCGTCAGCTGCGCGGCCGCCGGGTCCGGCTGCACCAGTGCCAAACAACGCGGCATATGAAGAGGCGGCACCACCGGCACCGGCAGGGCCTCCAGATACCGGACAAAGACCGTGGCCGCCGCATGGAGCAGGGCCGAGCTGACCGTGCCATTGGCCGCGGCCCCGACACCCGGGCCGGCCAGCTCGCCCTGGCCACCGTCGCCGCCAGGCAGCAGGGACGCCTCGTCGGCGGCGATCAGGGCGCCTGCCAGCGGCCCGCCCGTCCCTTCGAGGACCTCGCGCACGCGGGCAACCTCCGCCGCGCCGGCCGTCGACAGGAAGAGCCCCGGCTCGGCCTGGCCATGCTCCAGCAGGAAGTCCGCCAGGCGGGCCAGCACCTGCGGCACCGGGGCCCGATCGGCCGACAGGCTCTCCGGGCGCAGGGGGAATGCCAGCCCCGTCGGCGGTGCCGGCAGCCGGTTGGCCAGCGGCAAGGGCACACCGAAAGCCGACGGCGCCAAGTCCACCTCCACCGTGATGAAAAGGTCCCGGCCATTTTCCAAATGCAAGATGAGGATGTCCTCCAGGCGATTGACACCGAAGGGCTCCGGGCCACTGCCGCCGGAGGCCACGAAGTCCCAGTAATCGGCCCCGGCCGGGCAGTGGACCTCGGCCAGGCCGCGACCCCCACCGAGGCTGGCCTCGAAGGTGATGCTGACCGTCTCGCCGGGGGTCAACTGCCCGGACATGGGTTCGATCGTCAGCCAGGTCGGGCACCAGGCACTCTCATCGACCTTGGGAATGAACCGCCAAGAGGCCAGCACCCGGCCGGTGTTGGACAATTGCAGGGTCGTGCGCAGGGGCTCCCGCGCCAGGGGAGCCAGCTGGGCCCCGGCAAAGACCGCCGCGATGCCGCTCAGCCGGCAGTCCGGGATGGCGTCATTCTCAAAGCGATCCAGCATGTGCATGACTTCGCGCTCGGTCCGGCGCGCGCGCAGCGGATTGTACACCTTGATGGCGGTCAGGTCGAACTCCGCCGACACCGGCTTGTGATCGGAAGTCAACAAAGTCCGGTGATACCGATAGGCCACCGGGACCACGGAATCCGACCGCGCATACAGCACCCGATCGCACCAGGCCGGCGCCCGGCGCTTTTCGCTGGTGTCAAATGTGTCGGTGCCCGGGTCGAACTTGTACGTCGGCCCGAAGTGCACCGGCGGCTCGATGAACCCGTTGAAGGTCCGGCCGCGGGCCTGCTCCTGCAGGAGCTGGTCATGGACCATGAGCTCGGACCACCGGCGATCGGGCACCATGGCGCGGACCTGCTCCCCGGGCAGGGTCAGCCGGTAATTCAAGTCCCCCACCCAAAAGACATAGTCCGAGTCGTAGAGGCCGAAGGTGACCGTGTCGACGGGCGGGATGCCGGTCGGCGGCACCGGCGGGTCCCAGGGATTGGCGCCGGGGGTGGGGATGGCGGCGGCCAGCCGCGCCGGCGACCCGTCCAGCGGGGCCCCCGGCGGCCCGACCAGGGCCATGGCCGTGCCGAAGGACAACCCCGCGGCGAAGGCCCGCGCGGCCGGATGCAAGTGCGTGTAGGCCGCATCATACACGTCATAGGCAAATTGCATGCGGGATTCGATTTGCCGGAAGTCCGAATTCCGGCGCTCAATCTCATTGGTGGCCGCGGCCAGGTGCGAATTGATGAAGGTCACATACGAGTCGTAGATGCGCATGCGCACCGCCACGCCGCCCTTGTTGCCCATCATGTTCATGATGCCGGTGCCGACGGCGCCGGTGGTGATGTCCCGCACATGGGCCACATGGCGATCCAGCACATACACCACCACCAGCATGCCGACCAGCTGCTTGGAGGCCACCTTCCGGTACCGGTGCTGCCGCGGCCCGAAGCCAGCCTCAATGATCCGGGTCCAGTCGTCCTCGCGCGCGCTGTTGTCCAGCAGGAAGGCCGAGGCACTGAGGTCCAGCTCCTGGAAGCCCAGCACCACGATGTCCGCCAGGCCCAGGTCCGATTGCAGCCAGGCCGAGAGATCCTCATTCGGCAGCCGGCCATTGACATTCCAGGTCCCGGCAAAGAGGCGCAATGTGCGCAAGTCGGTGAAGGACTCCTCCTGGGAGAACATCTGCCGCACGATCCAGGGCATCTCCCGCCGGGGGGCCCCGCCACTGGCGAACTGGCTGGCCCGCGGGGCGATCAACTGCCGGAAGGTCACCGGGCGCCGGGGCCGCGGCGCGCTGCCGGTGGGCGAGGCGGCGATGGCGGCCGCCGCGGCCGCCGCCGACCCGGGCCCGGCCGCCGGCCCGGCCCCCAGGGTGGTGTCCACTTGCAGCCCGGGCGACGGCTGGCCCAGGACACTGGCCGAGGTGGCCCGGGGCAGGTGCACCGGTGGCGGTGAGGCCACCGCCGACATGGTCGACGGGTTGGGCGTCGGCGGGCCGTGATGGCCCGCCGCCCCGCCACCGGTGGCGTCGGTTTGGAGGGTGGACGCCCGGGCCCGGGGCCCGGTCGACCGGGGGGGAATCGGCGGCGGCCCGCTGGCCATGACCATGGTGGAATGCGGCCGCGAGTGGGTCGGCCCGGCCAGCGTCGGCGTCAGGATGGTCGAGGCCCGGCTGTTGCCATTCTGCGAGAGGAGCATGCGCCGGTCGATGTCGAAGATGCCGCCGGAGCGCGAGGCCCGCACGGCCTCCAGGCTGGATACATCGGACCCGGTGAGGAATTGCCCGGCCACGCGGGACCCGGCACCCACCCGAGGGATGGGCGCGTCATCGGCGGCGGCCAGGTCGGGATCCGGCCCGGGGGTCAGCACCATCGACTGCCGGGGGGGAGCCAGCGGGCCGGCCACCGGGGCGCCGGTGGGCGACGGGGTGCTGGCCGACTCGCTGGCCGGCGGGCCGGCCCGCGGCCCGGGGGCCGCCACCACCGGCACGAACCCATGCTCATACCGGTGACGCCAGTTCAACGGGCCGAGGATGCCAAATTGCACGGGCGACACCCCGGGCCCGAGGGCCGGCTCCGGGGCAAGGGTGATGACCGGGCCGCGGGGAGGCCGGCGGCCGGCACGACCACCGGCCTCGGACGGGTCGGCCGCCTCCTCGGCCGCCGGGCCAATCAGCCGGCTGGAGGACCCGGACGAGGAGATGGCCACCAGCGAGGAGGAGGCCGACCGGGTCGAGGCGATGGACGGCGAGGGGGAGGGCGGCCGCGGGGCGCCGGCCACCGATGGACCACCGCCAGTGGCATTGGCATTGACCTCGGAGGCGGTGGGGGCCTCCATGTCCGCCGGCTGGGGGTCCGGCGTGGCGGCCGCCTGGCGCAGGGCCTCCGCCTCCTGCAGGGGGTCCGGCCCGGGCGGCGGCGTGACCGGCTCGGCCATCGGCGCCAGAGGGGGCGAGGGGTTGGCTGCCCGCGGCGAGGCCGGCATATCCTGCCGCGCGGAGGAGAACACCACAATCATGCGGAGCTGCGCATTGAAGCGATCCAGGTAGTAAATGTGCTGGGCATTTTGCAGGGCGCCGCCGGGGCCGGATCCGGAGTCGTCCTCCGGCGGGGCCGCGCTCCAGGTGGGGTTGATCACCCCGAGTGGCAGGGCCCCGTCCTGGGGGGCCGGCATGGCACGCGACAGCGACAGGTCGGAGAACAGGTTGTGGAGGGGATCCTCCGGGGCCGGCCGGGCGGCGCTCACGAGCAGCTCCTCCGAGCCGCCGAGGCTCAGGAGGAGGCTGTGCTCCGAGGAGAGGCCGGTTCCGAGGTCCACCGAGAGGCTGGTCGTTGGGCGGGGCTCGTCGAAGTTGACTGTGTGCGCGGGCCGGGGGCGAGGGGGGGGGGGGGG